GATCACATAATCTGGGGTGTTGTGGATTCCAAAATCACGGTATTTAGATTTATCTTGATATTCTGGACGATAATCCGAGGGATCGTTCAGCGTTATAGGCACAGTTGGTCTGTTGGCTATCTGGTTTCCATCTGCATTACTCTGTATCACTTCCATAATTAAATCAAATCCTTTGCTGAATTAAAAATGTTATTGCTGCAACAGCTGTATGCTATAAATCCTTATTGACTTTTCTGACGTAATTTTTTTTATAATCAGCTGACAATGTGCTGTGTTCTAATCTATGGGCCTACTATCTTATCGGATACTCTCGCCTAGCCTTTTCACTGCCACTGGCCAATATGATATATATATATCATGCAAGAGATAAACGGGTAAACGAACCACACATACCTTTTAATGACCTACTTAGGCTACATATCGTGTTATAACCTAGAAGCTAATTGCACAATTATTTACCAGTCATCATGTTTGCGAATACCATTTCTTATAAAAAATCCCTTTTCTTATTAAATCCTGTTTAAACTGGGTAGTATTTATAAACCATAACAACAACACGCAGTATTGTTTATATTCTTAAAGGGGATTCCCTATCTCCATCCAATCAAATGTCAGAATTGGGGGCATCCCAGCAACTTAACCAATGGGAACAGAGTATTGTCGTGTTATCTAAAAATATAACCAATCAATAATCGTATACTGGCCTGGTTCAAATTCCCTTACATATATTAATCTTATTCATGTAATAGGACCAATCAAAAAACATCATGTAGACTAAGTTCAAAGGTCGCATGCATATATTACTCTTATTATTAGCCTCTATCATCCAGACCCTCTTTGTATATGCACAGCCACGACGAAAGATTGCGTGAATTAGCATCTATCATCCAGTACCCCTTTCTATGCACAGCAACGATGTCATCGTCGGTAAGCTGTACTGGTAAATAAAATATTGTCGAAAAAATAGTCGGTAAAAAACACAGTGGAGTTTCTACCCATGAAATTTGGCTGGCCCAGCGTTTGCCAGATTACAGATCAATGATTCCCAATTCCCTGCACTGATTTAGATTATGGAGCAGGGACATGAGATCGTGCAAATATCATATAATTGCAAACATAATGCGCACCCCTTTCTATCAAAAGGATATCTTGAAACATCAAGTCAGTGGCGAATCCTCAACTGTATATTTGTACCATTTAAATTAACGCCAACTTCGCTTGTCAGCAGAACAGAGAGGATAGGACACTCCCATTTTTATAAGGACAACAATTTACGATCACAGAGATCCTTTTCAAACCTCATGGCATTGATTTTTAATGGATATCTGTAAGCATTTTACAACTAGGGCAACTGTAACAATGAACCACATCTTTATTAAAGATAAACAGAAGGATTAGAATCTTATTGTGAAGTTTTATTGAATACTGTAAAAGACAAAACACATGTACAATACGTGTTGTGTAATGGTGAAAATAATATTACTATTACAAATCTGATTGAATCAAACCAATAAGAATAACTTTTCAAACTGTTAAAACATCACTCTATAAATTCAAGTTTAATTTTAGGAATTAGGTCCTCAAGACAGTCAGATACCGACCAACCAACTGATGAATTTCCTACTGTTAAAACAATGCTGTATTAACTCTAGCTTAATATTGTGAATAAGGCCCTCAAGACAGTCAGAAACCTGTCTTCAACTGAGTAAATTATTAACAATTACACCATTTTCCCTACAGTTAAAACATAGCTCTATTAATTCAGGTGTAATTTTTTAAATAAGGTCCTCAAAAATGTCCAAAGCCCTCAAATAAGTAATAGTGAATTCAGCAATTAGTTTTATTAACTTAACAACATCACATCTTCATGCAAATTATCAACAAAAAAAGTTGGATTTATTAATCTATATTGGTCTATATATTAGAAACTACAGTTACTGTTTTATTCATACTCAATGCATTATGTCAAATGTAGCATCTTTTTAGGTGTTTTTCTGTTAAAAGTTACACCTTGGTTGGTCAAAGAGTTAAAATACTCAAATTGTTAGAATATCAACCCAAACTACATGTATCCAAAATATGTTAAAACTTATTCAACAGATGCATTTTTCTGTCTACATGACAAAGCTATTTCTCTATATTTTCAATATTGACTATTAGAGTTATATTTTATATATAGCAGGATATTGTTTTAGCAACTAAATACTAGTCTATATCTATTCAAACTGATAGAGTAGCAGAACAAGCTGGAATATATAAATAACAACATAAAAACAAAATGGACGCCAACATTATCCCATTGAAACAAAAAATACAATATCATTATTTTCATATTAACCATTATACTGAATAATTTCAAATTTACCCATCTTTTCTTACTTCAATTTAGACCAAAACATTTATCACTCGAAATACTTTAACAAGCTTATTAGATGTTCATTCCAAAAATCGAACCCTTTCAAAAAAGTTCTTAAATTTTAGTTTCAAAAAAAAATTTATTAATCAAAAAGATTAAAATTTTAACAAGACACAAAAATTATCATTTGAGCCAATCAAAGATTAATATGTTAAATCAAATTTAGCGCCAGATATAGACTGAAATTATCTCCCCTTGTCTTAATTCCTTCGTCGCTTCTTGTCTTCTTCCTGTAAAAATATAATTTAAGTTATATAATATACTATATTTACAGTCAAATATAGATTTTTATAATTGGTGAACAGAACTTTCTTTCACAGAATATTATTTCATTTGAGAAACAGAGTCTGAGGTCCAGTCTATCGAAAAATTGTACGATTTGCTGTGTTATTTCTCAGTGTAACATAACCCAATCAACTTTATTTGAGATTTTAATAGAAATATGACTGGAACAAAGTAACTCCTAATGTCCAATTTTGAAAGAGTTCTTCTAGTATGTATTGTATAATCATACGAAAATCAATAAATTTCTGGGTAGGTAAAAAACTAAAACCCACCTTTTTGGAAAGAATAATAAGAAGTCTTCTGAAGATCTGAATGAAGTCAATAAACAAGTCTACAGCATGCCTGCAATATACAACAAAAATTGGAATGGTTCGATTTGATGCATTCAGTATCCCTGATACACATAACAAAACCTTTTTCCATTACTTTAATAGCTTTGTGTTTGATTCAGGCAGAATAATATGAATAGAGATTAGGGTGATTGAAAAGTTAATATTCAATATAAGGCACTGGCAACAGGGTTAAAGTTCTAATTAAAGTTACACCTACCATACAAAGTCTTCATCTCCCATCCTTCTTTTTTCTATGATAAGTTGAGTGTCGTACAGAACGAAGGCACAGAATATGATCAGTCCACCGTATAGATTCAACTACAATAACAAATACAGTTTAGTTCAAAATCTAATATCAAACAACGACAAAAAATTGGAAGTTTGAACCTATGAATTTTAACAAGAAAAAAAATTAAGTGACAAAATTTTAAAACATGGCAGCTAACAAATAAATAAAACTCTTTTTTTCAATTTTTAGATTTTTTTTTTACTGTTTTTTAATTAAAACTATTTTAACAGACTAATATTTGGGAAAATTTAACTCAATTTAACTCAATATATATAGGAAATTTGCGTCCTAAATTAAAAACTGGATAATTACGTACGTCATATAACATCTGGGATCTGAAGAAAAGATTAGCTAGAGATGATACCATCAAGAAAGATAAACCAGACAAAATAAAACCTGAAAAAAAACAAAATTCATTATCAACTTCAGAAAAATTAGTGAATTTTATCCCAATGATCCTAAAAAAAGTATAACAATTGAAGATTATCTACAGTTTAAAAGTTAACAGAACTTATAACTACAACACTTAAAGGACAGATTCATCATTTTTCAGTGGTTGATTTGGATCCTGAATATATGTAAATAGTCTTCAGAAGTATTAAAAATGTAAGAAAATCGCATAATTCCTTCATAAATACCACAAACTAGGGATATCAATTTCTATATATGTCTTTTTAATAACACATATTTTGTTTATTCAAATGAAGATTAATATGACTAACCTCCAAGGTAGAGGAAGGTTCTGTTGTTATTGTAGAGGGCAGCCAGAGTAAAACTAATAAAGATTACAGCTGTACCAAGAAGGGCTGATGGAATGATGCTGAAAAATAATTAATCATAATCATTCAAACACTCAGACAATATAAATTTTTGAACCAAATAAGTGTCATGAATATTCATGAGTAAAGGTGGCCGCTGTGGCATCAGGAATGGGATTACAGATTCAGTTGGATATAGTAGAAGCAAATCGTGTTGAACACATTGTCCAAATGTATTCACTTCTATATTCTACCATATTGATAATCCCATCCTGCACCATACACCCCAATGGTCATGGTCTAATCACAGCTTAAAGTCAAAATTCTATTTCCCTCTTTGCTAAATTTAACAAATCATTTGATAGAAATTTGTGTTAATTGAAATGAAATAATTTACATATATCTCCCCTTCTTCAACTTCTGATGTTTGAACAAAGGTAATGAGGGAATGAGATCATAAAGCACCATTCTGATATTAATACTATAACAAACTGGTACTATTCTAGACTTACATTAGTACCTCAATACAAGACTAGTATACTAACCTGGGGTCAATCGTCATTGCCATATCTAACAATGGGCCCAGAGATATTCCTATAAAATAAACATTCAATGTTAAATTATATAACATATAAAGGAGGGGTGGGAATTCCAAGGTATTATCTTGACCTAGGCAGGATTCAACCTCTGAATTTCAGGTTAGTGATCAAGTGTCTAGCTTGCTAAATCACTGTAATCTGTAACAGGTGTTATAGTAGTTAGATGTTAATTGTGAGATAGACAATGGGTAATGAAAGACTACATTGGGTAGCTTTGTACAGTACAGAGTCTGTTACCCTAGAAAGAAATAATTTCTGACAAGTGTTGGTGTGTGTGATATGCCAACTTTGACTTGTCAAATTTTCCTTAATAACAAATGCGCATCATGCATGATTAAACAGACTTTTTCTAATTGCGTAGAAGATAGGAATTTGTGAGCATTATTAACTTAGCATATCATATTTGGAATTACCTGAGAGGAAAGTAAAGCCACTAAAAATTGCCATTCTCTTTCCTACTGTTTCTTTACTGTGATGAATAGAGGCCAGCCATATCATCAATCCTATTGAACCAATAGCTGTTAATAATCCAGCCTAATAAATAAATACACATCAAAATCAGTATTAAAGTCAGCAACAACATCTCATTTCTCTAAAGATATTCTCAAGCCTTAGTTTATTAAGTTGTTATGTCTTTATCTATATACTTGTTAACCATTATAATATTATTCATTGCTTTATAAAGACCAGAGAACCCTGGTTTAAAAGAATTGGAAAGAGGTTTTCTAAATATTCTATATATATCAGGGACACTGTTGGCATCAATTTACACCATTACAAATTTGAATCAGATGTCTGTGGTTTATGTAAATAAACTAAAACTAAGTGCTTGATGCTTTAGATCACAAAAGACCCTTTGCAATGAGTGACATCATCAAACACTTAGTTTTAGTGTAATGCAAAAGATCTAGGATTCTGAAAAAGGTAATGGAAAGAGAAAGATTGAAAACCCTTGACCTACAACAAGTCTTAAAAGTATAAATTTTCTACCTGCATTAGATTAGTAAAGAGATGAACATAGGCTCCTACAGCTGCAGTTAACATCCCAATACCCAAACATCCATATACATTCTTTAAATGTTTCTGTACATATTCTTCTCTAAAATAGATGATATAAGGCATAAAAAACTGATAATTCAATATATACTATATACACTATAGGTTGTTACAAATAAAATATACTACAGACCATAGGGCTGCAACGATTCTTGAACTTGCGATTTGATACACTATACAATACTCATCCAACGATACAATTTATTGCCATAACTATCTCGATTCATTTATTACAGAAGGATAGAGAAAATACAGTAGAAATGTGTAAAATTACTAACAATTTTGTCACTATTAAGCACTTGAGAACATTTAGTCAGAAATAAATTTTTGCAAATTCAATGATGTGAAAATCATACTTGGAAAATAAAAACATGACACAAGTTCTTATACACACAAGGATTCTGTATTATTTGTTATTAAAGGGGGCTAAGAATTAACCGTGCTAAAACAATACTATTAGTTTTATCCAACGCAATGCATTGATAAGGAGGAAAAAATCGCGGTTCATTGATTAATCGGTGAATTGTTGCAGCCCTAACAGACAAGTCTATAAATTGCCTTACACTATAGCAATTACCAGACGCATATCATTACATTAATAATAGCAGTCAATTAACTATTTGCAACCATATGCAACTAGTGATAGCTATGGTGCCATGGCAAACTAATAAAATACACCACCAAAGGTATATATTCCAAATAAAAATGGCATCTGATTGGAGAAACATTTCAATTTCTTCTTCACATGAGAAATTATATAGGGTTTATAATAATATGAAACAGGTTAAAAAATACTTTATTTATAGGAATTAGTGGCAATAGTGATGCAGGTCCTTCATTTTAATGGTCCTCTATGTCCATATTTTCAGTCACGTTTAGAGTTGGTCTCTCCACCGGGTCGTGAAATATGTGTTGTAATTTCTATTTCTATGTAGTGAAATAATAATAATATGTCCTACATTTTTTGTTTTGACTCTGCAGAGCAACTTATTTATTGACCTACTTCTACTATCACTATCAGCTCAGGCCATTGCCAAGAATGATAGCAAAGGCCTCTCCCAAACTTTTCCTTTTAAAGTTCATTTTCAGTTTCATCCATATTAAGCAAAAATGGTCTTTCATGGAGATTTTAAAATGATACTAAAAACTATGTCATTGCGATAAGGAAATAATATCTAGGCCTATTCTAGAATATACTGGAAAATACGTCACTGAAAGTGAAAATACTTCAAACAAATCTGGTTTATTTCATTTCAAATAATGGCTAAATCGGTCGAAAATTGCGATTAAAATGTTCTTCGATATACCCATTAGCGTTAAATAAAACAAATTTAAAAAAACAGAGCAGAAAAACTTACAAATTATCAAATTTGAAGAGAGCAGCTGGCAAAAACTCATTTCGGGTCGCCATCTTGAAATCTGTGAAACTATTTGCAAACAAGAGTTTTATCCCTTACATCAATGGGCGTGTCAATGTTCTGATCTTCCGACAACATCAGAGTGACACGTCGACTTCCTTGATGAAATGATGAAATGACAATCATATGTCAGAAATTGATAAAAGATGTGTCATTGTCACTAGCTCACTTGATGAAATTCATCCAAAAAATTGCATTTCATGAAAAGGGACGATTGCCTAGAAATTTCCACTTAAAGATGTTTTTAGGTTAGATCTCTACATTAGGCTATGTAAAGATTTTTTTTCAAAACGAAAAGTAAAAATCAGTGTTCAGTTAAATTAGCCTATACTCTTTTCGATTTTCAAAATCCTGTCGAGGTTCAAAGATGGGTTCCCGTATTTTCATTTATAAAAATGAAAATGCTAATACTTATATGAATAGAAAGTAAAGGTGTTCTACTGAAAAATACCAGTTTGTCTCACATGTCCATAATTAATTCATAATTAGCTAAATTAGAAGAGAATTATCAACAGAATTCCAAGGAAAGGAAAATCAAAAAAGGTCAAAAAGTCTTTTTTACATACATGGACATTTATGATTGGTTAAAACTCTTTAGTATATGCAATAAGAACATATTTATATGATGAAGAATACATGATAATTTATCAGAAAAACCAAAAAATCAAATATGTTGCTTAATTTGACATTAAAAAATACGGAAACCCATCTTCTAGGGATCTCGGTTTATAGACCCAACCACCCCATTACCCTCTGACAGTTAAATCATTCAGGAGCACCATTAAAATAAAAAAGTTTGTATCCCCAATATTGTACCTTCACTTCATTGTAGCAAATTTAGATTTTTATAAGCTTTTGCCCCCAAAATGTGTCGTAATGTACCAAATCTATTAAACAAATTTCTTAGGGAAGAACTCTCCATGGGAGGCTTGTACCTATGATGTTTGCACAGAAACTTGAAGTTGAATCTCCCCTGCCCCCACCTCATTCAGACGGTCTACTCTTATTTGTAGCTCCAGTCCCAGAAGGTTGACCCCGTATCTTCTATTGTATGTATTATATTTCACATAGATATACTATATCGGACACCAATCTAGGCAATTTAAACAACTTTTCTAGGCCAAAAGGAATAGGATTGGTGCCAAGCCGCCACCACAGCCCCTTGCTCTCTAGGCCAAAAGGAATAGGATTGGTGCCAAGCCGCCACCACAGCCCCTTGCTCTCTAGGCCAAAAGGAATAGGATTGGTGCCAAGCCGCCACCACAGCCCCTTGCTCTCTAGGCCAAAAGGAATAGGATTGATGCCAAGCCGCCACCACAGCCCCTTGCTCTCTAGGCCAAAAGGAATAGGATTGGTGCCAAGCCGCCACCACAGCCCCTTGCTCTCTAGGCCAAAAGGAAGACCCCAACCCCTTGCATGATCGATGAATGATTCTCATACATAATTACATGAAGGATATTTATTTACAAAAACGAAATACAACCAAAAAACAACAACAATCAACAGTGAGAATATATAAATTGTTATGATATAGGGATTATCCTTAAAATACAGAAATAGGAAACCACTTCGAATATAGAAAACACGTTTAGATACAACCTGATTAAATACAAAATCGAGAAATTTTGCTTCGCTCTTTTCTTTGGGTAGCCTATTTCATCTCATTCTGTGAAGACGAATGAAGTAAGTTTGCGTACAAGAAAATAAAAACAAAGCGAAAGATCTCGATGTGTATGTTAATATGAACAGCAGTAAATTGATATTGAAAGATGATCAATGAAGAGTTGGTTTTAATTAACCGGTCCTCAAAAGTCGTCTGCAAGTTAAGATTCTGGACATTTGGCGGGTATCTCCTCCCGTCAGGGCCATCAGTAGTAGCATTCCTTGGCTACCCTCTCCGATGTCTCCAAATAGAGCGTACGTTATCGGATTGGCCAATGCTGCTGCACGTCCTAAACCGGGGATTCCTCCTAAACCAGGAATTCCCCCTAAACCGGGGATTCCTCCTAAACCGGGGATTCCTCCCAAACCGGGTATTCCTCCCAAACCAGGGATTCCTCCTAGACCGGGAATTCCTCCTACACCGGGGATTCCTCCTACACCGGGGATTCCTGCAGTTGGAAAACCAGGAATTCCACCAACACCAGGAACGGTTTGTCCTGGAATTGTCTGGCCCGGAATCGTCTGATCCGGAATTGTCTGGCCAGGAAAATTGGGAACAGCTGGTTGTTGTCCGAAGCTTCTTAAGTCACAGAGAGCACCAGGCATGGTCAGCAGATACTTGATGATATTTTGCTGTCCTGAAAGGAAATATGAAGAATGTTTAATATTATATCTAATCAGTTGTATATTCTAATTAGGATTGTGTTTCTCCCAGTGTTCAACAATTCATGTTTTTTACTAATATTCCACTTTGGTTTTCCCATCAATGTCAGGAGAGTAAGTAACACATACAACGAACAACAATAATTGAGTTAAATTACTCTACACATAT